TGTTTGAAGTGACCTATTTCTATTGCATGAAAGTAAATGGACTTTGAAATTAAATGAGAATGACAGAGATGAATTATCAAATTGTGGAATTAAATTGTAACAAACACTAGGGTTTCGGAATCCACCCTAAACAATTCTACCCAAGTTCATGAATGCCACTTTGCTTGGCTGCACCTTGGCTTTCTCCTAGCTCCCAGCTCTCCAAAATCTGCTCTCAATGTGTAGAATGATAGAATGGATATCCCTTTTCACGTTGAAAAACCCTCCCACTTCAGATTGCAATTCCCTTTGCTTCCCTCTCTCCTCCTTTCCAGCTTTTACTTTTAGTATTCTAATGCAAAGTCTTCACCCATTGTCTTCTTGTCCCCTTGCAAATGATGAAGCCTTGTCCTCACAAAGATGCCAAATGCTTCAGAAAATATCTCATCTACTAAGGTAAATTCTTGTTACCAAGTGTTATGGTAACAAGAATAATCAAGATGACACAATGGAGGTAAAAGCTGGCCAAATCCGGATTTCCAGAGCTGTGGTAACATGCTGGATTGGTTGGATAGGCAATACTTGTCCAATGGAGCTCAAATTTGGATATGTTGTAGTTAACATCAATTGGAACAAGTCTCATGAAGATCATGACCTCATCCGAGCACCAGAGCATGTTGATCCCAGGCCAAGAAGTTGACCTACGAAAATGAACAAAAACAAAATTTATAACTAATAATGCACTTTTAGCTCATTTTCATTCAAACCAAGGTAAAATCTAAGAAAACACAAAAAGGAAGTAAAAAGCTATAAAATGTCAAGAACTAACTCAAAATAGTGGGTGAATAACATGAAAAATCATGTGTAAAAATGAACCGAACAGCTGGCTAGGGCAGCAACAATTTGCTTTTTTCATGTCTCTTACAACGTTATGGGTAAACTCTTCATTCCTCAGATCTGTCTCAATCTCTAGAGATTCAGGAAGACTGAACCAGAAGGTCGTGAGAATAGAGAAAATCTGAAAAGATCCCGCTCTCGGCGTTGTTCGATTCACCTCAGAGCTCTCCTGGGCCAACGCTGGCTCTAAGGTACTCCTCTCCTCCTCCGCTCCATGTTCTCTTTGTAATTATCTCAATATGCCTACTCGAATTCCCTTCGGTCACACATTAATCTCATTTATATCCAATTCGGCGGTTGAGTGGTTTTTGCTTAGCGTCTTAGATCGAGTAGTTGAACTAAATTTTAGGGTTACCAGTATAAATCTGTGATTAGATTCCGATTTTTGTTAATTTTTAAAATTTGTATTTCCATCTATGATGTTGGGACTGTTAAGATGAATGTTTGATTATTCAAGAACAGAAGTAAGGAAGGGAAGAGAGAGAGAACAGAGAGAGCAGTAGAATAAGAAATCAAAACTTCTGTATATTTCTCAATAATCAGAACAGTACAATCGTAAGCTTATATATTCTTAGCTTTTGCTTACTGATTAAGCACTATAGTTGACTATCTTTTCTGACTTTCTAATCATTTCACGTGATAGCACATGGCCTTACAACCAGCCTTAACTCATTACTAAATAATCTCAGCTTAACTCTGACACAATTAAGGCATATGCATTTTTATGCTTGAAACGGATCCAAATTTCGTTTCCTTCTCCATCAATTGCTCATATAATAATTTTTGTGATGAACCGGACTTCTGTGAAAATGGGGATTTCCCGGCATGGCTTGCATCAAATCAAGAGTTCAAAACAGAGAACCTCACACTCTGCCTTTGTCCATCATTTTTAATACATCTGTAGAGCTAAACCGAAATCACTTTGTCAACTCGTTTGAGTTACCACCGGTGAGGATGACCTCCAAATTCTTGGATCAAAATTATAATACATATCAAGCCAACTGTACTGAGTAAATCAAGGGGATAAGAATGAGCTGCCTTTGCTTAAGCCTAAAGCAGTTTATGTAATATGTATGTGAATAGTGTGCAAATGTATATCACTTGTATGCATGGAAGTTGGCGAATTCCTTGGAGAAATTTATCTTTGCCATGATTATCTGACAGGTTGCTGAGCCACAAGGCAGTAGATTATGCACGGAAACCCAAGAATGCATGGTGAAGGCTAGGTGGTTCGATTTGGTGTCACTTATGCCAACCTCAGCTGATGTCATATTATGAAAGGTCTCTGAAAAAGGTAAAATCCTTATTATGAATCTTTATGTACTCTTTTTCAGAAGTTCAATTGATGAAGAGGCTTAGAATTGCATGGCTGTATTCTCACACATTTACCATTTACCTTGTACTAGTTGATGCGAATTCAACATGTTGTTCAGATGAAGCTCTTGAGATGGAAAATCTTATATCCGCAAAGATTACTCAGCAACCAAGTGACAACTTGCATTGCGCTTAAAGATGTAAGATACCAATGCCATTGTGATTGTGACTCCACCTTGCATGCTTTTGAATGTGCTTCTGACACTTATCCTTTTATTTACAGTTTGTTCAATCTGTACAACTTACTAGAGAATCCATACAGTCGGTTCCTTGTCTACTAGAGTGCTCTAAATTTGGCAATCAATGGAAGGGTCACTGAACATGTCATCCCTTCATTCAAAAAGATAGAAAGTTTTTTGAAAGAGTCGAATATTGGGATCTCGAACAAGAGGCAACTATTTCTTACCATCTCAAATGTTTTAAAAGAACACAAAAGGTATGCTATGCTATTTGGAAATTGTGAACTATAATTTGTTTATGTGTACATGCCCCTGTTCAATTGGTTTTAGGAATAATTGATTATTTTTTGTGTTGTATTTTCAGCTTGGTAAAGGAGTCTTTCAAATTCCTGAGCAAGTACTTAGCTACTTTTTTTGTTGAAGATGCATATATATTGAGTGAAGCCAAGAAGGAAGCTATGCGAAGGCCCCCGACTTGTTTCAGGTATTATAAGGTCTTGTAGAATTTGAAAGATTATTTGTGCTAATTTAGTGGTCTACAAGGTCTTGTAGAATTTGAAAGATTATTTGTGCTAATTTAGTGGTCTACGTTTCTCCTTGATGCATGCTTATCGTTGTTTACTTGTGTTACGTCCTGTAAAAATATATGTTTTTTTCCTTTTAAAAAATCTCTTCTTATGAGGTAAGTCCAGTTAGTTGTGCAGAGACAATTTAGTAGTTTGAAATTGACTCTTATAAAGTAATTATTGATATTAAGATCTTTCTTGCATTTTTAAGTAGCTCCTAGCATTCATTTGAACCCATTAAGTTTCCTCTGAATGCTTATTGCTTGTATGTGTTGTAAAATTGGCTCACATTTAGTATGCATGCGAAGGAGTGAGCGACCGGTCGCAAGGTTTGGGCGACCGGTCGTTTAGAAGCAGAGTCGAAGTCTGAAAAATTCGCAGGAAGCGACCGGTCGCAAGGTATCAGCGACCGGTCGCTATGTATCCAAATGGTCGTAGCGACCGGTCGCAAGGTATCAGCGACCGGTCGCCCTTTCCTTACGTGTTTTCACTGTGCTGATGTTTTCCTTACGTGTTTTCAACTACTTTTTCGGTGGCTATCGCTTTCCACAAGATTGCAGGTGTTTAATGGGTCACTTCTGAGGTAAAAGAAGGTGGACTACCTGCTGTATAGTTGGGAGAGCACTCATTGCCAATTGGTTGTCTTGGTTTGGAGAATCCATTCTCCATTTTCTGGTTTTGTTGGAAGGTGGCTGAAGTGGGATTTGTTTACTTGCATGATCTGATCTTTAGTCTAAGTGGGAGACTAAAGGAAGGAACGTGGAAGACAAGATGGTGCCTTATCTTGTGTCCATTGGTCTTGTGTAGGTAATGGAGATAAAGCAAGACATTATAAGATGAGAAAGCAAGTTGAAGTTAGGTGTGGTTAATCTCAAGGTGGTTAAGTAGTTGGGTGCTATTGTGTTCAAAGGAGGTTAACTCACCAAGGGAGAACGTGAGAGAGAGCAATCAGTTCAAGTTAGGAGCTGAGTTGGGGTCTTGAGAGTCTATACACCAAGGGGGGAAACACCAAGGGTTGTGAGAGTGTTCACAAGTGCATCAAAGTGTTGAGCAAGGGGTGTGAGAGAAAAGAGAGCTTGGGGAGAGAATAGAGTTCTAAGGGGGTTTTCTGTGTAAAGCCAAAGTTGTAACTTATTCTTTCATGAAGTGAATTTCTCAAGGGGATCACCAAGAGGGTGTAGGCAATTGCTGAACCTCTATAAATTCTTGTGTCACTTTGTGCTTAGTTGTTGTCTCAAGTGTGTGTGTGTGATTCATCCATCATTGTGTGTGTCACAAAGTCCATCAACAACAAGATCATTAGGGGAGTGAGTGAAAGTGTTTGTCCATTTTTCACAACAGTATGCAGTCATGTTTTGAAGCAAATGAAGTGGTGAACAGGTAAAAGTTATTTGGTCTTGCTAATATTTGATAACAATATTGGTCCTATCACAGTTCTTAAATATTCATGCCAGTGACTTTGCTTGAGAAATTTTGTACATGATGATTTTTAATTTTCTGTTTACACGTGGTGAAAAAATATTAGCAACATTCTAATTTTCTGGTTAGTTGATGATTTTTTGTCTATTTGTATATTCTTCTTTATGGTTGGTGCTCAAGACTTGTAAGTATTGTAATCATAATATGTGTATTTTAGTGTGAGCATGAATTTATAATATGTATTGTCCATCAAATTGATTTTATGGATAGCACAAGGCCTTTACTAGCTAGTTATTAATGGTAGGAGATTATCTGATTACTAGCTAGTTATTAATTGTTGTAGGTTTTGATAACTCATTAATTCTGAGAGAAACCCGCTGAAAAGATTGTTATACAACCAGTGGGCCCAATTATCTTACATTATTTGCTCCACTTGAGGACCGTTTTCTGATTTCGGATCTACAAACAAGTTTGCCGTTTAAACCTTCCGACCAAAAAAAAAAAAAAACCCTTTCAACATGCGATGTACACGTAGAGAACCTACTTGTATTTCTTTCAAATTAATTCAATATAAAAGTTTAGTTCCTCAAATAAAAAAAGAGTTTAGAATACATTTTGGTCAACAACTTGACTATAAATTGTGAAAGATAATTTATAGATAGGGTTAATTTCAGCTTGGTATCCTGGAGTTTTATGCATTTTTCGACTAAAAAGAAAAAAGAGTATTTGCTATTTCAAGTCAGATGTCCTTTTTTTTGTTTGGAAAGTCAGGTGTCCTTGGGTATACAAACAGTGCAAGATGTGTAAATTAGAGATTAAAAAGGTCCAACTAACTCTTTGGTTATTTCTTATGTTAGAGATGTAACTCTAATTTCAATCTCTCTCTCTCTTGTTGATTTTTTTTATTAAAAAAAATAAAATCATAAAACTGGTAATATATAAACATTGAACAGGAGAGGTCTGGTACTATTTATGTAAACAAAAAAAAGTTGCAGAAATTTATTTCATCAATTAAAAACAAAAAAATGTCCTAACTTAACCCTCAAAAAATTGTTGCTAACTATCCAACTAATCACATACCTCACGTCCATCCTCATAGGGCTAGCTTGAGCATTGGCAATTGTTTTGATTGGATTTGATTTTGATCCAAACAAGTAAGTCGTTGTTATAAAAGCAGTTACTCATGTACTAGAATCTTGTACTCAAATCCCTTTTTTTTTATAAATATTTTGTATAAAAAGAAAGAAAGAAATTAATTAATTAGTAGCACCAAGTTGAGGAACGAGCCAGGGTCAAAGTTCTTCAACCGGAAGGAGATATGCTGTGCGTTTGGACATGGAAGGATTTTATGTACGGAGAACACATGACATTCTAACAGTTCCAAAGCCCAGAACAAAATTGCTAATAAACTTGAATAATTGAACAATCGATTATAGTTGCACTTCGACGAGGCTGAACCTTAGCCAAGTCGTTGGCCATAAGAACCAGAACTTCAACTTCACCAATGGCCCGAAAACTAAAAGGAGACCAGGGCAACTCGGCAGAAAAGACGGTATATTTAGATCGCGCCCAATATTCTATAAGGTCGTCTCCACTGTGATTTGAACGTTCTGCTTCATTGCGGTAATGTTTCCAGTACTCGTTTGTCACCGCAACAACTCCCCTCACGATGAAGAACATCATTTCCATTGGTTCATTTAGTTGAATAATGTCCTCATCTTCATACTTTTTGAGCTCAAGATGCCCGCATATTTCTTTCAACACTTTCTCATCCATAGTCTTAAGTCTTTCCACCTAGGATTGGATACCATGTTTGTTCAAGCAAAGAGAGAGAATTAGAATATAAGTATTATATCATAAAATCAATTAAAATAGAATAAGTTGATATATGTAAGAAAATATTCTACTTTTCTACAAATCACAATTTACACGTATATTAAGGAACTTACATTCTTTAGTATAGTCAATGGGTCCCGAGTCAAAGGCTCCGACTGAGAATATGTAAGGAGGGTGCTCTCCCTGGTGAAACTCGATCTGAATTTTGAGACTACACTCTTCAAGTCGTCGGCACTGAGAGCAAGGATTTCACCACGGGGCCGCATAGCGCAGAACCAGTTGACAAAGGTAGTTTGGCAGGAAAGGTGCTATGTGATACCCAAGGTGTAACCCAATGTGCAAGTTAGGAAAGGACAAACACTTGTAAAGTGTTCAGTGGTTTTGTGTTGTTCCTTAAACTCCAAAAAGTACGATGGTTTACACAACGACAAAGACATAGGCATTTTAAAATGATATCACAAGACAATATCGAAGTCACCAAAACAGTGCTGCATTCATTCAAGGAAACCAAACAAGATCAAGATGGCGACTCGCATTTTTAAGAAACAATTTTACCACATTATTTGGGAAGTTGGTGCAGATCAATCATCATCATCATAACAGTATCTGAATCAGGTCAAGGCAAAGCAGCATATCTGAACTGAATGCACCAACATATCACTCTTAGCAAGACCAAAAGCAATTGAAAGACAAAAAGAAAAAAACAGAGCATGCAAAGGTTTGCTCTTGGTATAGAGACTATTAGAATGATATCTCAAGCTGTTGTTTTCATCTTGATCCAAAAATAAAAAAACGTGTTGTTTTCTGAAGTGAAACATCTCTAACTGACGCAGCACAAGCAACAAAGGTTTCAAACGAAAACCTTGAGTAACAAGAAATCTGGATTCCACCAGAAATTAAGAGGAATTCTCTTGGGATAATTTTGATTAAAATCTGAGATGATGAAAAACGTTCACCAAATCTGTCTAAATACACATCTCTCAACCCTTGAGCTGCTAGGGAGGTTGTTACATTAAAACTGAAAAACAGAATTTATTCCGAAAATTAACTACGAAACTTTGAATGCGGTTTTGGAAAGCCAAACGACCTCAGGATGCCAAAATCCGCCAAACGACCAGGAGTCAAAACCACAAAACCGCATTCAAAGTTTGACTCGTGGTGTTGTTCCCTTTCCGAAATGGTAATTTACGTCCTAATCGGAGCTCGGACGACAAATCTGCAAATTCCCGCTACGTCCTTTTTCTAGCTCAACTGCGATAAAATCCGCCATTTGTTCTACATCACTAACACATGAATTTCAATGCGTTCACAAAATGAACACCTGTGAATTTGTAAGCACATATTAGCACACAAAGTCATAATTCACAAAATATTAGATCAATTCAATATATGTAAATGGATACGTGACTTTAAGGAGAGATGGTGCTTGCACATAATTAAAATTCACTACATCTAGTTTCAAAGCTTTGTGTAATTATCCTTCCGATTAGGATCCTGTTTGAATTTAAAAATCAAAGCAATGAGTACTGATATGTTCATAATTTCACATGATTTTATATCCTTTTTATTTAGTTTTGTGAATTAATTTGGACTAAAGATGCCGATTTTTAGTTATTTTCTGGGTTTTCAGTTTATGAGTCACAAAATGTATAAATTCCCCAAATACTCCTCATAATAGAATTTGACATGATTCCAATTAGAGATGGAAGATAGCATCTTGAAGTTTGTCCATGAATATTTTCATAATTTTTGAACTAAGGTGCCCATTTTTAATTAAACAACTCAGCCTAAACTAGTTTCCGGAGAATATTGAGTCAGCAGGGGTATTTTGGCCATAACTCACTCATACGACACCGGATTGAGGCACAAGATATATGGCTGAAAAGAAGACATCTAGAGCTTTCCAAAGAGTGGTCGTATGCAATTTTTGAAGGTCAAGAAGGTGTTCAAATTGCATTCGCAAAGAGGATCATGTGCAGTTTCCTGGAAGTTTTAGGAAACTTAGTTTTAATTACATTTTCTAGTTAGGAACTGACTTGGAAATCAAGTCTTCGTGTAAGGCTACTTGTTTAGGCCCATTCTAACTAGGTTTTAGATTTTTTTTAGAGGGGAGGTCGGGGGGCTCAAAGGGGATATTCCTCGCTCTTCCTTGCTCCATTAGTTTGAAGTTTATTAGTTAGGGTGTCTAAAGTAATTTAGGATTTAAATTAGTTTATAATTCACAACAACTTGAGAAGTTATTCAGTACCTTGTACTTGCCTTGCCTATATTGTATCAACCTTGTGCGCTTGCAAGTTTATTTCTTGAATTTAACTATCTAATTTTTAGATAGTAAAATTATACATCAAATACTCAACAGAGTATGAACTTTGGAGCACAAATAGCCCATAACTATTGATTTAGATTGGTAAATTTGCATCAATACCACGTGGACTCGTATTGTGTCTTAATAATTTATTTCTTTTGGTAACTTATTACTCAAACTTTAATTTTTAAAGGTGAGAGACTCGTAAAGACTGACTTGTACTCAACTCCAATGAACTCGTATTGTGTCTTAATCTCAAAAAAAAAATTATGAACTTTTATGGAATTAGTCTTTGTTTACATTTTTTTGATGAACTCCTAGTTGCAAATAACCTAAAATTTTCTTGAAGTGGTTATCCTCAAACATATATTGCCTTCCGAATTTAAAGACCACACTCACGACGTCGCTAGCCATGAGAGCAAGGGCTTCAACATCACCTGTTGCCTCAGCGGACTCGGTTGCCAAGGGTAATTTTCAGGTGCTAGTGAACAATGTTAATTGTGCTAGTGACCAAACAAATCAAAGATCGGAGCATATATAATTTTCAGGTTGCTGACCTAAATAACTCTGAAAAAAAAAAATCATCGTATTATCTGGTTCCAAACAAACTTCTAGAATCTCATTTTAAAAACATTTTTATTTTACATTATCTGGGAAATTGGTTTAGCTCCTTTTCACACATGCCCAATTATTACATATGGAATTGGTTTATGGACCATTATTTTGTTGTAATTAGAGGAAAATCCCTCACTAATTTCCCTTTGAACATCTCAACATATACCTACTCAAACAAACCCAATGAGAGGCAATTGGCAGCAAGACTTGTGCCCACAGCAACCGTCATCATGTCATATTATAAACACAAATGAAAGACCAAGAAAACAGAGATTCTCTCAACATATATAATTTTCTTGTTGCTTATTGACTAACACCTTAAAAAATAATAATAAATATAAATCACGTGTAAACAAAAACCCAAATAGTTATGTATCTGTCAAGAGCCAATCAATATTTCTTTAATTCTAGTCTTTTTGTAGTATAAATTATTTATTCTCTCAAAGCAGAGCAAACTTAGCAACTCTTCCAAGAAGCGGAGCGGATATGCATCCAACAATCAGAAAAGGCATTACAAGATCTCAACTCTAGCATCATTTGATCAATCGTTCATTAACTGGAAATCCAAACAACTTACAAACAAACAAGCTTCAGACAAGGAAACTACCTATGTACGTACATAAGCAGGAATATAATACAAAGACAATTCATTAGTTGCACATAACACTAACGAATTTGACCACCAGGCTGAACCTTTGCCAAGTCCTCGGCCTTAAGAACCAGAACTTCAACTTCACCGATGGCCCAAAAACTAAAATGAGAGGTGGGCAATTCGGCAAGAACGCCGGTAGATTTACATTGTAGCCAATGTTCTACGAGGTCATCTCCACTGTGATTTGGACGTCCTCCTTCATTGAGGTAATGTTTCGAGCTCCCGTCTGTCACAGACACAACTCCGCTCATGATGAAGAACATCATTTCGATTGGTTTATCCTTTTGAATAATGTACGCATCTTCATACGTTCTGAGCTCAAGATACCCACATATTTTTTTCAAAAATTCCACATCCATAGTCTCAAGCCTTTCCACCTACAAATTAGAAATTTCATGATTAAAAATAATATATATAGAAAGGTCTTCTCTTAATCCAGAGGAACTTACATTCTTTAGGGTGGTCAACCAGTCCAGAGGCTGATCAGAATCTGTAGGGAGGGTGAAATCAGAGAGTACACTCTTCAAGTCGTCGGCTTTGAGAGCAAGTATTTCCACAGAACCACCATGGTAGGAGCATAGCGCAGAATCAGGTGACAAGGGTAGTTTGGTAGGAAAGGTCTGGTGTGATACCCAAGTTGTAACCCAATGCACAAGTTCTTCTCCATAGAAACTTCCCAATTCACAGGTTTTTTTAACGTTCACGTCCATAGCACTTACGCTTTTAATTAATACAACTCCTCGCACGACGAAGAACATCATATTAAGTGGTTTTTTCTCTTTAAGAATATACTGCTTGGCATTGAAGTTCATGGGCTTAAGACGCTTGGAGATTGCTTTCAACACTTGTTCGTCCATTTGTTGAAAGATTTCCACCTAAAATTAGATAGATTTGACATTGTCAGTTAAGAAAAATATAAAGCAAATCTTCTAAAAGTTAGTACTGGCTAGCTAGGATGATATATAATGGTTTTAATTGGTTTTGTCTTCTTCATATAAAGAAAATCTTCTAAAGGTTAGTACTGCAGATGGAGCAACTGGCATATTTGACATATTAATTTGACAAACATAAAGAGAACATTATATAACTCAAATAAGTAATATCATGGAAGGTGAGAATCAAATTATTCTTCTTTTATATGTCTTCTAAATTGAGAGGAGCTTACTTTCTTAAGTACAGTCACCATGTACAACTTCTTGAAATGCGACTTGGATTTAGAGCCAATGCTCTCCATGTCTGTGGCATAGAGAACAAGGGCTTGAACATCATCAAGGGCCTCAACAGACTCCTCGTTTATGGGTTTTGCATCACCAGAGGAGGTCCACGATGGCGCAACTAAAAGGTTCCCTCCATAAAAATCTCTTGCACCTAATGGCCGCATAGAATGAGTTGGATTTACAATCCTTACACATCCGTCCACAATGAAAAACATCTTTTCAAGTGTTTTATCCTTTTCAATAATGATTTTTCCACGAGTATACTTCTCGGGCTTAAGCTTCTCGGAGATTTCTCTCAAAACTCCTTCGTCCATGTCTTTAAGTAGTGGCACCTAGAAATATATACAATATTTGAGAAAAATAATCAGCAATTAAAAATAATCAGCAAATCTTCTAAAAGTAGTACTGGGTAGCTAGGATGATATATAATGGTTTTAATTGGATGTGTTTTCTTCATTAAGTTCTAAATACTTGCTTGATATATATATATATATATATATTTATAAGAAAATGCTAGGGAGACCAACTTGGGAGACCAACTCTCTAATAGAGCGTGGGACCCATTGTATTGGTGGACTCCACCTCTATTAGAGAGTTGGTACACAAGTTGGTCTCCCTAGCATGATAGTACTGCAGATGGAGCAACTTACTTTCTTTAGCCAAGTCAACAGGAGATCTGAGGGAGAGGCGAAATTGCTGAAATGCTTCATGAACTTAGAGACTACACTCTTGGAACTAAAGCCCAAGGTCGCCATGTCTGTGGCAGAGAGAACAAGGGCTTGAACATCATCAATGGCCCGAACATACTCGTTTATGGGTTTTGCATCACCAGAAGAGGTCCACGATGGTGAAACTAGAAGTTCCTCTCCATAAAATTTTCCCGCGCCTAGATGTTCCGGTCGAGAACCATCTATCTTTTCAATGGTTACATGGCCGTCCACGATGAAAAGCATCATTTGAAGTGTTTCATCCTTGTTTATAATGATTTCTCCAGGATTATACTTCTTGGGCTTAAGCTTCTCGGAGATTTCTCTCAAAACTCCTTCGTCCATGTCTTTAAGTAGTGGCACCTGGTATTAGGTACAATATTATTTGAGAAAACTAACCAACAATTAAAAATCTAATATCTATCATTGAGAGGAGCTTACTTTCTTAAGTATAGTCACCATGCACAACTTCTTGAAATGATACTTGGATTTAGAGCCGATGCTCTCCATGTCTGTGGCATAGAGAACAAGGGCTTGAACATCATCAAGGGCCTCAATAGACTCATCGTTTATGGGTTTTGCATCACCAAAGGAGGTCCACAATGGCGCAACTAAAAGGTTCCCTCCATAAAAATCTCCTGCGCCTAGCTTCGGCCGAGAACCATCTGTCTTTTCAATGGTTACACGTCCGTCTAAGATGAAAAGCATCTTTTCAAGTGTTTTATCCTTTTCAATAATGATTTGTCCACGAATATACTTCTCGGGCTTAAGCTTCTCGGAGACTTCTCTCAAAACTCCTTCGTCCATGTCTTTAAGTAGTGGCACCTAGAAATAGATATATTTAAAAAGTAATGCATATTTGTGTAAATGTAACTACGTACAGAATTCTAGAAAACTCAAGAACCTACAACTAGATGAGGGAATGTCGGCAACACACAAATAAATATGCAAAGAATATTCTAGATGAAGCCACACACTTGTGGCTTGAGAAAAGAGAACAAGTCGGTGGGACTAAAGCATGGCGGCAAGACTCAACTATAAATAGACATGCAATGTAATCTAGCAAAGTGGAAAGTGGAGTGAACCAATAAACTCCCAAACTAAATGGGGAGTAAACAAGCCAACTCCCAAACTAAGGGAGCCAAGAGCTACCCAAACAAAGCTATGTTGAGAGTTACCCAAACAAAGCTATGTTGAGGAGCCAATAAGCTCACCAAGCTAAGAGAGAAAAAGGGCCAATAAGCCTATATAAGCAAGGAAGGAAGCCAATAAGCCTAAATACTAAACACCTTCAAGTTGAAGAAGGCCAATTAGCCTAACCAGATCTACAACAAGCTATGTACTATCACTTTGTTTCAACTATTGTCCTAAAACCCTTCATCACATAAACCAACAATGGTACCATAGGAAAAGAGGTAAACCACGAATTGATCCTTTAGTAAACAACTTTGAAGTCGGAACAAAAGCACTGAAAACAAAGATTTGATTTTGTTGTAGATAGGAAAAAAAAAGATGAAATAATGGGGTTTGTTGTTGGGTTCGTGAAATTGCAGTGGAATATGCTAAACTTATTATATAGTTCCAATCATGGATGTATTTTTCCCAATCGATTTCCATGTTGGAGAAGAAAAGAGAGAAAAGAGATGAAGGTGAAGAGAAGGAGAACGTGAACTAGGTTTGGCAAGTGGGGACCTCTGTTTCTAATGGGTTTCTGGCTAAGCATGATTTTGGCACAGACAATCTCGCCACCAAAAGGGAGCTTGAGCTTGGGGTTTGGAATTGGGGTTTTCAAAGAGATTGGGATTGGATTTCGGAGATGGGGAATTTGGGGTTTTGGGTTTTGGTCTTGGGTTCTTGGGGTTTTTAGGGATGAATCTGGGCAGTGAAGGCGGTGGATGCAGATGTGGTGTCAAGACTCTTAAGGGGGTGGCATGGGGTTGATGGTTTTTTTTTTCTCCAGCCTTTTTAATTGAAGAATATTTTATTACGCTTAACTAATAAAAAAATAAAAATATGAGACTCATAAATGCCACATAGGCAATTAACGGTACATCTAACGCAAATCCTAATGGTTGAATAACATTTTACTAAATTTAAAAGACGGGGGTATGTAATTGTAAAAATTGAGAAAATATCTACACTCTTCAAGCTCTTGGCCTTCAGTATGAGGACTTCAGCATCATCTGAGACTACTTTAACAGTGCAGGTCGACAAGGGTAATATGGTAGGAAAAGACTCATCCGGTACCCACTCAAGAAGTTCTTCTCCAATAAAATTTGCTTCGGGAGGGTTCTCATTTTTTGTTACCTCTCCCCTCGTAACGAAGAACATCATACTAACTGGTTGGTTCTCTCGAATAATATAGTCCTCGCGTTTATAGCTAACCGAAGAAAGATGATGATACATTGCTTTCAATACTTGTTTATCCATAGTTTCAAGTTTTGGCACCTAGGATTTGACACATTATTAATTTCTCAAACATAAAGAGAAAATTATATAAATCAAATAAGTAACATCATTGTATATACGTCTTCTAAATAGAGAGGAGCTTACTTTCTGAAGAATATTTACCACCACGCGCAACTCGTTGATAGACCGCCTGGAACTAAAGCCCAAGGTCGCCACGTTTGTGGCAGAGAGAACAAGGGCTTGAACATCATCAATGGCCTGAACAAACTCGTTTATGGGTTTTGCATCACTAGAGGAGGTCCACAATGGCGAAACTAGAAGTTCCTGCCCATAAAAATCTCCTGCGCCTAGGTATTCCGATCGAGAACCATCTGTCTTTTCAATGGTTACATGTCCATCCACGATAAAAAGCATCTTTTCAAGTGTTTTAGCCTTTTCAATAATGATTTGTCCACGAGTATACTTCTCGAGTTTAAGCTTCTCAGAGATTTCTCTCAAAACTCCTCCGTGCATGTCTTTAAGTAGTGGCACCTGATATTAGATACAACATTATTTGAGAAAACTAACCAACAATTAAAAATCTAATATCTATCATTGAGAGGAGCTTACTTTCTTAAGTATAGTCACCATGCACAACTTCTTGAAATGTGACTTGGATTTAGAGCCGATGCTCTCCATGTCTATGGCATAGAGAACAAGGGCTTGAACATCATCAATGGCCCGAACAGACTCGTTTATCGGTTTTGCATCACTGGAGGAGGTCGACGATGGCAAAACTAGAAGTTCCTCTCCATAAAATTTTCCTGCGTCTAGATGCTCCGGCCGAGAACCATCTGTCTTTTCAATGGTTACATGTCCATCCACGATAAAAAGCATCTTTTCAAGTGTTTTAGCCTTTTCAATAATGATTTGTCCACGAGTATACTTCTCGAGTTTAAGCTTCTCAGAGATTTCTCTCAAAACTCCTTCATGCATGTCTTTAAGTAGTGGCACCTAGTATTAGATACAATATTTTTTTAGAAAACTAACCAACAATTAAAAATCTAATATTTATCATTGAGAGGAGCTTACTTTCTGAAGTATAGTCACCATGCACAACTTCTTGAAATGCGACTTGGATTTAGAGCCGATGCTCTCCATGTCTGTGGCATAGAGAACAAGGGCTTGAACATCATCAATGGCCCGAATAGACTCGTTTATGGGTTTTGCATCACCGGAGGAGGTCGACGATGGCGAAACTAGAAGTTCCACCCCATAAAATTTTCCTGCATCTAGATGTTCCGGCCGAGAACCATCTGTCTTTTCAATGGTTACACGTCCTTCCACAATGAAAAGCATCATTTGAAGTGGTTCATCCTTGTTTATAATGATTTCTCCTGGAGTATAATTCTCGGGCTTAAGCTTGTCAGAGATTTCTCTCAAAACTCCTTTGTCCATATCTTTAAGTAGTGGCACCTGGTATTAGATTACATACATTTTGAGAAAAATAACCAGCAATTAAAAATCTAATATATATCATTGGATACGAATAATGGTGGTGAAAAATTAAATATGATGCGTTTGGATGAACCTACCTTCCTCAGCCTACTCAACGGGCTGCAACTGTTGATTAATTTGCGGGGAAGAATAGAGCTGATTTCCCTAAGCACATCAAAATCCGAGTTGCGAACAAGCTCTCCTTTTATCTCTTCCATGATCTTCGGCTTTCTACTAAGGGGGATGCCATGCTCAGATAACCATTTTTCTACTTTTTGGTCCTTTTCTTTAATCTTCTTGTCAAGTTTATCCTTGCGTCTCTGCTTCTCTAAGCTTCCAGTATCTAACTGCACATAGGTCTATTTCACAAAAACAAGGTTCAGTTCATTCATTCTAATTGTTATAGAGAATTATATATATATATATATATATATATAACAAAATGCAGAGAATTAATGGATTAATTCAGAAAAAAAGAGAGAGCATATAATGGTAAAACATTCAAAATACTAAAAATTGCCCTTAGTTAATGAATTTATTAAGCATTGAAACTTTTAATTAAATAAGGATAATATAGTACATTAACATTTTTTCATATTAAAAAATATATAATAAAAACCAAAATAAGAAAATGGAGTCCTATTTTCATGGAACACAACTTCTCTTTCTTTTCATTTTTTTTTTCGGTTGTATAAGGGAGTCCTTTTTTCGGTTGTAAAAAAATGGAGTCCTTTTTTCGGTTGTAAAAGGCACAAGTGTGTGATAAGGGACTAGCATGATAAGAGTTTCCCTCAATTGAAGCTTTCTGGCTCCCTAGAGAGAGAGAGAGAGAGAGAGAGAGAGAGAGGGGTACTCAAATGAGAGAAATACAAAAAATCAAATCAGGAGCTTTAAGCTTAAGGAGAACTTTTTATATACACCGCACCAACCTGCAAATTTCCAATGAGATATACAAAGAGTATCAAGCCGATTATAGATATAAATGCTACAAAGGTGATTTCCCATGTATAGAAACTCGGTTGGAGATTTGAAGCAAAAGAACTGCAAACATGAAATGGATCAGAATACATAATATATACAAATGTCAACTGTTCAATGTAAGTTAAAAATGGAGTTAAAAAACAGCATCAATGTATACGTTGGTTTCGCATGTACCTCAAATTTCGCAGGCCCCAACAAAAACTGTTCAAAAACTTCAGGGGATAGTCTGTTGACCACAATGCATCCGACTGAAGGACATTTAGGTATATACCAAAATCAAAGCGAGTTGTATTTGGTAGATTTATCGGGCATGAATCATTTAGAACAGTAATATTTATCAACGTTTGGTGATCATGACAATTAAATGTAGAAGTGCCACATCCATTTCCATTTCGACACGCATGTTCCCAGCAACTTATCATTCGTTGAGCAGCAAAAAAGTACCAAAAAGCTCCAAGCACCTAAAGAAAAACCAACAAGCTTGTTAGATTGAACTTTTGAAAAAAATTTAAATGACGCTAATAAGTTTTCATGAAAAGAAAATTTCATATTTCTTAAAAACAATTGATGCTATCAATTTTTGTCTCAAAAGATTGGTTCTCACACAAGTTATTAGAACTGTTATTGTGTTTGCAAGTATAATTTGATATGAAGTATGCACCTCCTGTTTTTGTTGTTGTCATGATGGTCCCACAAATAAAAATGTGAAAAATAAACGGTTTGGATGGAGAAGTAAAATTCAAAGTGGACCTTATAAGGTGTCCCTCAAATAAAGTGATATCATGAAAATACTAGTTCAACATTACTCAAGGATATTGTTTGCCTCCTTCCCTACAATGAGACATTACTTTCTCCATCAAATCATAGTTTCACACATATGCAAAATAATTTATCAAAAAGACAAACAAAACAAAAAATTCTTTTGCATACATGTCCGATTGTGATTGACAGGAAAGTAGGAGTTCCTACTTACAGAGAAATGAGACAAATATGATCCTTTTTTTCAAAAGAAAATGAACTTTTTAAAATTAAATAACTTATGATAAAAATGAAACTTACATGACTGGCCAAAATGTACAGGAAAAGATTGAGTAAACCTTTAAGCCATAATGGGACATGTCCTTTGAAAGGTTTTTTAGCTTTCTTGCATGATAGGTAAATGCGAAGAACTCGTGGTACATATTGCCCCATAACAAGAAAGTTCATAATACGCTTCCCGGAAGATCCTGAGACCCTCATATTCGGAAAGAAAAAGAGAATTGCCACCTGGACACATTGCAATGTTAATATTGACTATTAACAACATATCATGAGACAAAATATTAAATTAGGGTAATGCTAGAGACACTAAATTTGTGTATCAAGTGACATGGCAATCGAATCCCAAGTCACATCATGGCAATGCCATATCATCGCTTAATGATATGGATTTATTAATTAGTTCAAAAGACATAATGATTTTTTTAGGGGAAAAGTTGATATAGATTCAAATTTCCATTGAGGAGTTGGGTTTAATCCTCGAATTTGGTGACTTTGATCAAAGTTGTTTGACTTTTGTGCCACATATGATTACATTCCTTTTTTTAATATGTTCTGATGTAATATTTATTTATTTATTTATAAATCATTTTTTTGTTCCAATGTTGACCCTTATGACTTGAATAGGGTAATAATCATTTATGTCATAATAATTAGTCATTTTTTGTAGGTAACATACAATTTTATTTGTCTAGTTTTGTATCTGACTTATAGGTAGTCTTCCAATTTATGTTCCTAACTTATAGGTAACACGATTTGTCACTAAGTTTTTTACGTTGCTAATAATAACACTATTTTCCGGGATGTTAGGTGCATAATTTAGTGTGGGTGCTTGTTTGCTCGATTGGTATAATATGTGGGTCTTTACTTTTCATTGATTAAATTTTATTTTGTCCATATATTAGGAATATTATCAAGGAAATATTTCAAAATTTAAATTATGAAATTCAACTATAAGGAAATAATGCATTAAATTTAGATTTTCAATGTGTTTCCTTATTTAACTAAAAGGGTAAAATTGACACAACAAAAAAAGTAATAAATGTATAAGGACCTACATCTAAAACAAAAAAACGTGTGGATTAAACCTATATTAAGATGTTGTCCTGTCCTAATTTCAAACATATCATTGATTTAGTTAGTAGTATCATAGAGTCATAGTCTAGTGATTGTTTTCAGCCACTATATCTGGAGCAAAATCTCTTATGCTTTTATAGTGAAATTAATATATATAAATACTCCTATACGGATGTTCGGATGATAATATTGTGTGGATGTCATGTATTTCTAATGTCCATTCCAACATTCCTTATGTTTACAATGGAATACGCACATACATCCAGATGAGAGAATAACTATATATATAGTATTGCATGCAAACGAAAACAGTGAGATTTATGACCAAAAGAAAAAATAAAAACAGTGAGATTGGAAAAGCAATTAACTACTCGATCTAGAGTCTAGATCAAAGCGAAGGCTTTTGTTCGTACCTGTGGAAGAGGAAGAATAGCTAAAATGTCAACTATGATGGACGACTCCCATATCTCCTTTCCTATACGTGGTTTTGGAACTTCGTTGCTTACTTCAGGTAATAAATCTCGAAAGCCTTTGATGAGTGACTCCATTAACTTGGAGGAGGATTTTTCGGGAAGAAATTGCTTGATCGAAGGTGAATAATTTTCAAATCTACAAACGTGCAGAATAATTCTGCCTACATAAAATAGGTCAGTGAACAATCGCGAGACGAGAGCAATAATCTTTATGGTGTTGTCCAACCTCAGACACTTCAAATCTTGGTTGAGGAGAGGAATGTAGAGGAACAAAGGATCCAGGAGTACGCCAAACACACATGATGTTATAAATATTTTAGTCAACCGTGCTGCAAGTTTTGATTTATTCTCATCTTCATCTCTCGTGGCAGAATTTTCCGTTGTCTGGTTTGAATTTGGATAATATGTTCTGCTGGCCAAGATCCAAAGAACATAAAATTACGCATAGAAGATAGAATTAAAGATTTGACCCTGGTTATACTATTATTAATATTATTGCAACGCAATTACTTTAGCTGTCCTCAAAACAACAAAAGGTTAAACTGTTCTGTGTCTGTAACCGCTGCGGTGACTTTACATTATTTTTATAAAAAGACGATAGAATTTTATTAAATCAGTAAGAATATAATTAAAAACATTTATTTTTCTAAGAAAGGAAAAAATTTGAATTTGGTGCATGCATATGAAACTTGTACATATACTTAGAAACTAACCTTGCAACGCTCTCTTTCGAGTTGTCTGCAACTGAATAAGTTGCTACAGCTTTCTCTAAATCACCGGGAGCCATGCAAAACTCAAACCTCTATTTTTTGGTATTTTTTTCTTTTTCCAGAAACTGAGTCTGATCTTGCTAGTGAAATTTCAAATAACGGAGACCTTTTAAATCTCAAATTTTCTACAACTGAAGTCAAGTTTATGAGAATGGTAGATATATATATATGGAGATGCTGTTTGGTTTCTGTGGGCTCATTTCTGCCAGTTTTGAATCCCTCTGCAGCACAGCAGCCGCGGCGCCACAGTCATTCCTCCTTTCACGTGGGCCTCTTTTGGCTTTTAGTGGGCTCCAACAAAAAACATTCTACTCTTCCTCCAAGTGCAGTGAATCAGAGGCTGCTGACTGTGAACAATAATTAAAGATTAAAGATTCTGAACTTTCTTTTTCTACAGTCGTCTGAAAATAATAATAATTAACCTCACGTGTAACATGCAAAATTATCTCTTCAATATATTATTTAACCATTGAGCCCAACCTACCTAACTGGGGAGGAAGGACAAACACAACGACAAAGACATAGACGTTTTAAAATCATATCAGTAGACAAGTCAAAATCACCTACCTAATTGGGGAGGAAGGACAAACACAACGAAAATGAAGATGAAGATGAAGATGGCGACTCGCAATTTTAAAAAACTATTTTACGTCAAATTGATGCAAATCATCATCATCATAACAGTATCTGAATTACGTCAAGACAAAGTCATATTAGATAATTCAATATATGTAAATGGATCTATACGTCACTTCCAGTAGATTCAATGCATTTATCCTTTCGATTAGGATCCTGTTTAAATTTAAAAATTAAAGCGATGAGTGCTAGCAGAGTATGATTTTATATATTTAAAAAATCATAAAAATGGTAATATAAAAAAAATAAAAATTGAACAGGAGAGGTCTAGTACTATTTTTGTAAACAAAAAAAGTTGCAGAAATTTATTTCATCAATTAAAAACAAAAAAAAATGTCCTAACTTAACCCACAAAAAATTGTTGCTAACGATCCAACTAATCACATACCTCACGTCCATCCTCATAGGGGCTAGCTTGAGCATTATCTTGCTGAGTCTAAAGTAGATAAACAAATTCTATGTAAAACCATTATAAAAGAACAGCTGGTAGTTCCATGGCACTCGCCGCTAGTCCGAGAAAGTTACAAATTTACTAGGACCAGTTACTTCACATTTTGATGTTGCTTGGCTTCATCCACAACGTATTTCAGACCGGAGACTTGCTCAATGTTGTGGTCATTCTTTTGGAATTTTTCATTCTCTTTTATTCCAGTCATCCTACTTGCAAATATGCAGTTGCGCCTCCGTCAGTGTTCGTTGGGTTGTTCGTTGTATGAAAACTTCTCTACGTTTGATTAGGGTTGAATATGGTGAATATGGTGTACTTAATAAAATTATATTTGTTTCACAATTCAATATATCTTTTTTGGTCATTTTATATTAGGATAAATTAGTAATTCAATAAGTTGTTTGGTAGTAGGGTGTACTTAGTTAATTTTACGGTTCATTTAGCAGCACTCTAAATAAGAGGGAATTAGCAGCAAGACTTGTGCCCGCAGCAACCCATATGAATTATAAACACATATGAAAGACCGAGAAATCATATAATATAATTGACTAACACCTTAAGAATAATAAATCACGTGTAACACCCAGCATTAGTTTCGCTATTCAATATGCTACTTGTTCCATGTTCATCCGTCGTGGCAGATTTTTCCACGGTGGACTGAATTTGAATCAGGATTACTGGATTAAACACAAACATACGTCAATTTGCGCCCATTAGATAGAAGAAACAATTAAGGACCCATTGTATCATTGTAAAGATTTTTCGTCACAAGCATGTAAAAATTTACCACTACAGTTTGTCTCACAAGTCGTGGTGCGTTTGATACAACATTTTTTTTTAAAGGGAAAAGAAGAAAAGAAAATGGTGATAAAGTCAAAGAAACTAACCTTAACACACCAACAAAAAACTAAAGCTAACCTTTTAACCTTCTCTTTCGAGTTCTCTTCTGTAAGTGAAGTTGCTTCCTCTTTCTCTTCCGTGACCTCCATGATTAAAGCTACCTCGGACTTAGCCCTCAAACCCTTTTTTTTTTTGAAATTTTTTATAAAAACTGACATTTAAAAATTAAAAATTAAAAAAACTCTAAAAACACCACAAATGAAAGCTATAAAAATATTGGGAAAACATAGCTATAAAATTAAAAAAATTTAAAAATATTCCGAGCATATATAATTTTTGCTGGCTGCTAATTGACTAACACCTAATTACAAATGACTTCGAAAAAATAATAATAAACCTCATGTGTAACATGCAAATTGCTATTTGGTTATGACTTACATATCTGCGATTACGATTGCATTTGACAATTCAAACAAACTTCTAGACGTCCATATCTTGAGAACAATTTTACAAAATTAATTTGGAAATTTGTTTAGCTCCATTTACACATGCAATTTACTATGTATATATAGTCAAGAAAAAAAACAGAAAGGAATCACTATTTGGTTTACAAATCAATATTATGTTATGATTAGGGGAAAACTCCTCAGTAATAGGAGATCTAAACACAATTTCCGTTTGGAGATCTCTACATGATTGCGTAGACCTTGAAATGATTTGCATTTTATAGAGTCAAGGAGTACCGCCGCCAACTTATAAGGCTATCTTTTCAGGTAAACAAAATACAGCAACTTGGTTCAACTTATCAAGCTAGCAAATGTATCATTCTTGCTTTCATTGAAACTTGAAACTGAACCCTAAGCCCCCTACTTCTCCACACTCGCATTATCGTACTATTCGAATAGGTTTTGGTCAAGAACTTGACAATAAACTGTAAAATGTAATTTTGCATATATATATACATGTTCAAGTTCCCAATAGTAATGCCAGGTTGAGGAATGACCATAATTTTCCCAATCCCAGGGCAAGTTCTTACACCGGAGTTGACTAATTGACTAAAAATTACAGCGAATTCAAGAAAAAGTAGTTAATAAAATTTGATTAAAGTTCAGAATTGCAATTGCATTTGGCAATTAATTCAATGCGACTTGCAGACTTCGGTTTCTTAGGAGAAAGGTTTTACTACGAATTCGACGAGGCTGAACGCTTGCCAAGTCCTTGGCCATAAGAACCAGAACTTCAACTTCACCGATGGCCCGAAAACTTAAAGCAGAGATGGGCAACTCCTTAGGAAAAGCGGTATCTTTAGATCGCACCCAATAATCTATAAGGTCATCTCCACTGTGATTTGAATGTTCTACTTCATTGCGGTATTCTGTCCAGTACTCGTTTGTCACCGCCACAACTCCCCTCACGATGAAGAACATCTTTTCCACTAACTCATTCAATCCAATAATGTACTCATCTTGATACTTTTCTGCCCTAAGATGCTCACTTATTTCTTTCAACACTTGCTCATCCATATGCTTAAGCCTTTCCACCTAGATTAATTAGATACCATATTATTTGTTTAAGCAAAGAAGAGAGAATTAAGTATAAACATGTATATATATATATATAGGACTCATCTTGATCCTTTTCTGCCATAAGATGCTCACTTATTTCTTTCAACACTTGCTCATCCATATGCTTAAGCCTTTCCACCTAGATTAATTAGATACCATATTATTTGTTTAAGCAAAGAAGAGAGAATTAAGTATAAACATATATATTTATATATATATAGGAACTTACATTCTTTAGCATAGTCAACAGATCCCGAGTCAAAGGCTCCGATGGAGGGAGGGTGATCTGAGTCTCCCTTGTGAACAACTTGGACTTGAAATCAGAGACTACACTCTTCAAGTCGTCGGCTGTGAGAGCAAGGATTTTAACAGGACGGGAGCCGCGTAACGCAGAACCAGTTGCCAAAGGTAGTTTGGCAGGAAAGGAGCTATGTGATGCCCAAGTTGTAACCCAATGTACCAGTTCTTCTCCATAGAAACCTCCCATTTCACGGGTTTCTGACCCTTCGATGATGCTATCGCTTTCGATGGATACAACTCCCCGCACCACAAAGAACATCATTTCAAGTGGTTCCTTCTCTCGAATAATATAGGTGTTGACAGTACTGTAGGCCCTGGGCTTAAGAAGCTTGGAGATTGCTTCCAACACTTGTTTGTCCATTTTTTGAAAATTTTTCACCTAGAGTTAGATAGATATAATATTGTTAATTACTAAGAAAAGTATTTATAAAGCAAATCTAAGTACGTATAGCTGTGAGGATGAAAATGGTTTTAAAGCAAATCCAAAAATATTGTTACTTGATATATAGAGTAGAGATGGAGAGCAACTTACTTTCTTTAGCCTAGTCAACCGGACAGAAGTCAAAAGATCTAACTCAGAGGCGATCTTGCTGAAGTGTGGCACGAAGTTATCGTTAGAGGCAAAATTCTTCAAGACTTCTGGTTTAAGATAGAGGATTTCAGCATCGTTTGAGACTACTGTAGCCGTACAGGTGGACAAGGGTAGCATCTCAGGAAAACACTTATCCAGTGCCCACTCAACAAGTTCTTCTCCGAAAAAATTTCCTGCACGATCATTCTTATTATTTTTTATCACCTCTCCCCTCGTGACAAAGAACATCATACTAAGCGGTCGGTTCTCTTGAATAATATCGACATCACGTCGATAGAGATCAGGTAGAAGAAGCGCAGACATTTCTTTCAATACTTGTTTATTCATAGTTTGAAGCTTTGGCACCTAGGGTTGGATGCATTAATTTAACAAACTTAATGAGAAAATTATATAAAATCAAATAAGTAACATCATCATTGTATAGATATGTTGCAAGGGGTTTGTATAGCTCATGTATGTACGCATGCACCCGAGGTCCTAGGTTCGATTTTCTCCTTCTTCAATATCACTTGTACAAAAAAAAATTAATTGTATAGATATGTATTCCAGAGAGAGAGGAACTTACTTGTTGTAGCATAGCCACCTTGTCACACGTCAAAAGCTCCCACTCAGAATCCGTTAGATGACTCATCTCCAACTTGTCGAACTCTGACCTGAATCTAGTGCCTATACTGGCCATGTCGCTGGCCGAGAGAACAAGGGCTTCAACATAACTGGCCCAAACAGACTCGGTTGCTATGGGTCTTGTCCCCTCATGGAAGGACGTCCATGAGGGCCAAACTAGGAGTTTCTCTCCGTATACATCTCCCGCATGTCTTCGCAACTCAGTAGAACATTCTTTCTTTTTAATGGTTACGCGTCCGTCCACGATGAAAAGCATCATTTCAAGTGGTTCACCCTCTCCAATAATGGTTTCATTAGTAAACTTCATGGGATTAAGATGCTTGGCGATTTCTATCAAAACTTGTTCGTTCATCTTTCGAAGTAATGGCACCTAGGTTTAGATAAAATATTTTAAGAATGGAACCAGCAATTAAAAATCTAATAATAACCTCGTATCATATATATGGGAGCTTATCCAATAAGAATTTGTGTTAAGAACTAGTTCATCTTAGACTTCTTAGTAAATTAATTTTTTTTATATGTACCATACATTCAATCTAATAACTGAAATTAGAAGTTATTAACTATAACGTTGTGAAAAATTAACTATAACTATACTAAAGCGATGAGTTTGCATGAACCCTACCTTCTTCAGCCTACTCAACGGCATGCAACTTTTGATGTAGTTTTGAAGTTTCAAGGGAAGAATAGAGAAGATTTCTTTTTTTACATCAATAGCGGAGTTTTCTTCAAGCTCTTGTCGTGCCCTTGCCATGACCTCCGACTTTTTACGCAGGGGGATGCCATTTTCAGATAACCATTTTTCTACATCTGGGCCTACTTTTTCTGTCAACTTCTGTTCAAGTTTCATCTTGCGTCTGTGCGACTCTAATCTTTCAGTATCTAACAGCACATAGGTCTATTTCACAACAAGAAGGTTCAGTTCATTAATTCTAATTTATTATATATATGCATATTTCCAGAGATACAGAAAAAGCCGGCCAACATATATACAAAGATGCGTACTCAAATGAGAAAAGAAAAAAAAAATCATGAGGAGATTTAAGCTTAAAGAAAACTTTTTATATAAAGATTCACCGCACCAACCTGCAAATTCCCAATGAGAATTACGAATAGTAGCAAGCCGATTACAGATATAAAAGTCACAAAGAGGATTTCCCATGTATTGGTACTCGGCTGGAGATTTGAAGCAAGAGAACTGCAAAAATGAAAATAGATTACAACACATTAAAAAAAATTGTATTTTTAGTTACATTTGTAATTATAACTCATCCTGCAAGATCAAAGAGTGTCCTATGTACAAACCTCAAATTCCGCAGGCCCCAACTAAAACTATTCAAAAACTTCAGGGGATAGTTTGTTGACCACAATATACCCGATTGAAGAACATTTAGATATATACCAAAATCAAATAGATCTGTATTTGATGGATTAATCGGACATAAATCATTTAGAACCGTAATATTTCTCGACGTATGGTGATCATTACAGTCAAAAGAAGTAGGGTCACATCCATTTTCGTATCGACATGCATGTTGCCAGCAACTTGTCATTCTTTGAATAGCAAAAAAGTACCAAAAAGCCCCAAGTACCTAAAGAAACCAACAAGCTAGTTAGATTATATTGAACTTTTAAGAAAATTTTAAACAAACGCTAATAAGTTCTCATAAAAAGAAAATTTAATATGTTATTAAATGATTAATGTTGACAAATTTTGGGAGGATTTGCCTCCTAATATTAGTTCTAGCAGAAGGGTTTGCCTCCCAAGATTAGTTCTCACATAAGTTAAATTATTAGGAACGTCATTGTATTTGCAAGTGTAATTTAATATGAAGTATGCACCATGTTTGTATGTATGTATATACATGTTTTTTATTCACATGAGGTTGAGTACTATGAACCTAAACTTTTATCAAGAAATAAGATATCAAATAATGCTAGTCCAGCAGATGTGAGTTAGGCCAATTGGCCAGGACATTGAGTCCACCCCCTTCAAGTTCGAATCTTCATCTCCGTAAATTAGATTAATTAGAATAATTAGACTATCACTTATATCAAATATAAAAAAAAAACAATGCTTGTTCAACATTAATTTAAAGTAGATTAACTTTTCAAAATTAAAATTATGATGAAATTGAAACTTACATGACTAGCAAGGATGTACAAAAAAAAATTGAGTACACCTTTGACCCATAATGCAATCTGTCCTTTGAAAGGTTTTTTAGATTTCTTGCATGATAGGTAGATGCGAAGAACTCGTGGTACATATTGCACCATAACAAGAAAGTTCATGACCTTCTTGAAAGATCTTGAGGCCCTCATTTTTGAAAAGAAAATGAGAATTACTACCTGGCCAGAACACACATTGCAATGTTAATATCAACTGTTAACATATCATGAGACAAACTATTGAATTAATTTATATTTGCCTGTGTCCTGTATGACATTTCATATATTGGGCTGCAGTATATCACATTTCAATTATTCAGTACCATAAATGGTCCTAATTTCTAATAACTTTATAGTGAAATTAATATATACATATCTTAGCACACCGCCATTGCATGCAGACAAAAACAGTGAGATTGGAAAAGATATTAACTACTCGATCTAGAGTCTAGATCAAAGCAAAGGCTTTTGTTCATACCTGTGGAAGAGGAAGAATAGCTAAAATGTCAACTATGATGGACGACTTCCATATCTCTTTAGTTATACTTGGTTTTGGAACTTCGTTGCTTACTTCAGGTAATAACTCACGAAAGCTTTTGATGAGTGATGTTATTAACTTGGAGGAGCAACTTTCAGGAAGAAATCGCTTGATCGAAGGTGAACAATTTTCAAATCTACAAACTTGAAAAATAATATTGGCTATATAAAATAGATCTGTGACTGATCGTAAGATGAGAGCTGTAATCTTTAAGTTGTTGTCCAACTTCAGACACTTGATATCGTCGTTGAGGATAGGAATGTAGAGGAACAAAGGATCCAGTAAAACGGCAAACACACATGATGTTATAAATATGTAATTCCACTTTAGACATGATTTTTGTATATCTTCCGGGGCAGGATTTTCCGTTATCGTGTTTGAATTCGGATCATCTACTGCACTGATGGGCAAGAGACACAAAGAACATAAAATTATGCCTAACAAATAGAAGAAAACATTTAAGGAACCCAAAGTAACAAAATCCTTATCAAGAGAGACAGAAGAACTTTGATAATGTAAAAAATTCTCCTATGCGGACGTCCGGAGATTATTACCTTGTGGACTACGCTATGTATTTTCTATTACCCCTCCATGATATATATTAAAGATGATTAAATATTTGGCTGTGCAACACAGCCATATATGCAGATATGCAGGTCCTATTGTTTGATAGAACATTTATTTAAGAATGGAAAAATCAAAATGGTGCATGTACTTAAAGTTGTGGAAACTAACCTTGCAACGTTCTCTTCACCGGTAGCCGCCATGCAGAACTCAAACTCCCTTTTTCTTTTCTTTTCTTTTTTTCTCTTTTGTGGTTGTTTTGCAGAAGCTGAATCTTGCTAGCTAGAAGTCTGGAGTTTGCAAATGATGGAGCAAATCCCTTTTGAAACCAAATTTTGAGATCTCAAATTTTCTACAACTGAAGTCAAGTTATATGCATTAATCCACAATTAATAGAATTGACTTCAAATAAATACTTATCTTGCAGTAGTTCACATTTATCAAGTTGAAATAAAGTAATATTTCATTCTGCTAACTTGTTTGAATTCATAGATCAAGGTGTTAGTTGTCATAAATTCAAAAAAAAAAAATATTTTCCGTACTCTGCTTGGCAAGAAAGAAAAAAATTAAGTCCCCATATCCTTTTTTTGGTTGAGGTGCCAAGTCTTTTTTTCTTAATAGTTTACTTCTTTCTCACCAACAGAAGCAAATTTAGAGCAACTCCTTCCTACTAGTGTAGCCAATGAGAGGCGACTTCATTGTAAAATATAATTGTGGCTAAGTTGATGACCCAAAATAATTGTGGCTAAACCACAGGTGTAACATGCAAATTGTTATTTAATTAAAACTTCATAGTTGTTAATAGCGTTTTGACGATCCAGATTCCAGACAATCCAAACAAACTTCTAGACTCTCATTTTAAAAACAATTTTATTACATTCTGGGATATTGGTTTTAGCTCCATTCACACATGACAATTAAATACTTACGGATTTGGTTTACGGACCATTATTTTGTTGTGTGATTAGGGGAAAATCCCTCGCTAATCGCGGTTTCAATATCTCAACATGATATCATGACCTTGAAATGACTTGCATTTTATAGGTCAACGAGTACCCCCCAAACTTACAAAATACAAACAAAATATACAGCAACTTGGCTCATTTTCATCTACTGCGCCACTACAAGAAAAAAGTCCTTTCACAACGCGCAATGTGCGTTGTGAAAACATATTGACAACATGCGGCGCACGTTGTTGAAGCCGATGTCGTTAAAAGGTGTAGGGCTTTCGACAACACGCGTTGAACGTCGTCGTTTATTTTGGCGCTCGTTGTGAACAACATTAACCACAACACGCGCACGTTGTAGGAGCGATTGACAACAACGTGCCGAGCATGTCGTCTTATAATATTATGACAACATGTCTGTGCTCGTTGTTGTTTATGTTTTGACAACAAGCAATGCGCGTTGTTATATCAAATATATATGTTTTTTTTAAAATAATTATCAAAATTACCTGATAAAAGTATAATTTATCTATAAATAGAAGCTCTATGATAAAAGCGATATAACACAACACACATACTCTGTACGTTGTTAAAAGCCTAATTTCACAACGCAAACTTACGCACGTTGTTAATAATGTGTTGTGGTAGAGTATTTTTCTTGTAGTGGCTGCTATATCAAATTAGCAAATGCATCATTCTTGCTTTCATTGAAACTTGAAACTGAACCCTAAGCCCCTACTTCTCCACACTCGCATTATTGTACACGTCGAAGAAAAGCAAATAAATTCAATAAAAACAATGTTGAATAGGTTTTGGTCAAGAACTTGATAATAAACTGTAAAATGTAATTTTGCATATATACATGTTCAAGTTCCCAACGGTAATGCCAGGTTGAGGAATGACCATAATTTTCCCAGGGCAAGTTCTTACACCTGAATTTTGTAGAGAAATAACTAGGGTTTAGAGAAGAATAAGAAGTAGAATAGAAAGAACACCCCACGATGAGTATTCTGGTTGTATTGGATTTCTTTTATATGCTATACAGTTGACTTTGTACATGAGTATAAACAGAGTAAATTATACAAACGGTAAAACATAAAATAGGCAGTTCCAAGATTATAGGGATTGATTGAGATAATGAAGCAATCACACTTGAATGGCTACAGACTGCCGTGACTTGTGGGGAGTGCCTTGCATATTCATTGGCTGATGGGTAGGATGCTCTTCACGCTCCCTCAAGCGAAAGGGAACAAAGTGGAGGTTGAGCTTGGTAGCAAGTTGAGTAAACCGTTCGCGAGACAAGCTTTTGGTGAAGAGATCGGCAAGTTGAGAAGCAGAGGGAACATAGTGCGTCTGAAGAACACCTTGGGAAATTAACTCGCGAACAAAATGATAGTCGATTTCAATATGGCGGGTACGAGCATGGAAGACAGGATTCGCTGCCATGTGGAGAGCAGATATGTTGTCGACGAAGATACATGGAGGCGAACGTAGAGGAATACCCAACTCACGAAACAAGTAGCCAAACCAACGAAGCTCAGCTGCAGTGGTAGCAAGTGCGCGATACTCGGCTTCAGAGCTTGAGCGGGATACGGTAGATTGTTTCTTAGCGGTCCAAGTGAGGAGATTAGGACCAAGGAAAACACATGCCCCTGTAGTAGAGCGGCGGTCATCAATGGAGCCGGCCCAATCAGAGTCGGAGAAGGCTCGCAAAGTGAGGTCAGCAGAAGCACGAAAGAGAAGGCCATGCTCAAGAGTGCCCTTAATGTAGCGATAGATCCTTTTAACAGCTTGGAGGTGAGTGGAACATGGATGATGCATGAATTGGCACACTTGATTCACGGCAAAAGCGATATCGGGACGAGATAGAGTGAGGTACTGGAGGCCCCCAACCATGCTACGATACAGTGTGGGGTCAGAGATCGGATCACCATCATTTGCAGAGAGTCTGGTGGAGGAGAGCAGTGGTGTGGGACTTGGTTTACATGCTGCCATATTAAATTTGGTGAGAAGGTCAGATGCATAGCGAGCTTGAGAGATTGATAGAGAGCCATTGGTGCGACAAACTTCCATGCCAAGAAAAAAATTGAGCTCGCCCAGCCTGCGACTATCAAAGGTTGAACATAAATCATCAATGAATTTGTTAACTGCAGGAAGAGTACTACCTGTTACAATTAAGTCATCAACATACACAAGGACATAAAGAGTATGAGAGGTTGTATGACGAATAAAAAGTGAAGCATCAGATTGACTATGGAAGAATCCTTGATGAATTAAAAAAGAATGAAGTCGATGAAACCATGCACGGGGGGCCTGTTTAAGGCCATAGAGTGCCTTGTGGAGTTTGCAGACATATTTGGAGCGAAGAGGGTCAGCAAAACCTGGGGGCTGCTTCATATAAACCTCCTCCTGTAAGATGCCATTCAGAAAGGCATTACGAACATCAAGTTGTTGCAAGGGCCAATTCCTGGAAAGAGCAATAGTTAAGATAGTGCGAATAGTAGCTGGCTTGACAACAGGACTAAATGTTTCATCATAGTCAAGGCCCTCCATTTGATTAAAGCCCTTGGCAACTAAGCGTGCCTTGTGTCTTTCAATAGTGCCATCGGCTTTTCGCTTGACTTTGAAAACCCATTTACAGCCCACGACGTTCATGGTTGGTGTAGGAGGAACGAGGGACCAAGTTTGGTTCTTCATAAGGGCTGTATATTCTTCGTGCATCGCTGCCTGCCAGTGAGGGAATTTAGAGGCTTGAGTATAACTTGTAGGCTCAATTGAGAGAGGATCCGTAAGAGTTGCAGTTAAGGCATGGGGAAGAGGATGGCGTGTGGAGTTGTAGACAAGATTATGAAGGCTGCGGAACCCACGTGGTGGTGGTGTAGTGGCTGGAGTTGTCGGAGATGACTCGATTTCTATTGAAGGAGGGGAAGTGCTTGCAGATTGATGAAGAGGATGGTCGGATGGAGATGAAGACAGAGTAGAGAGCGGAAGAGGTGTTGCTGGTGGTGAGAGCTGGTTGTCCGTAGCAAGGTTAGAAGGAGGTGGAGTAGTTGGGGGAGCTGGAGATAAAGGAACATGAGGAGGCTCCAATAACGTGGGTGCAAGAGGTATTGACCTGGAATCATGAGAGGACTTGGATAGAATATTAGTGTAAGAAAAATCAGATTCATCAAAAGTAACATTCCTTGAAATATACACTCGCCTAGAGATTGGTTCAAAGCACTTGTACCCCTTGTAGTGATTGTCATACCCGAGAAAAATACACTTAATAGACTTGGAGGAAAGTTTATGCTTGTTGTATGGCACTAAGTGTGGAAAACATGTACAACCAAAAGACTTGAGAAACCGGTAGTCAGGTGGGCGTTGGAACAACTTCTCATAGGGTGAAACTTGACCAAGTTGTGTAGTTGGTAACCTGTTGATAAGAAAGACAGCAGTGGAAAAAGCTTCGAGCCAAAAACTCGAAGGTAAGTGTGATTGGGACAACAGGCAAAGTCCCATTTCAACAATATGTCTATGCTTACACTCAACAATTCTGTTTTGCTCTGGTTTGTAAGGGCATGAAATGTGATGTGTGATGCCGTGTTCATGAAGAAAATTAAGGAATAAACGATTAGTGAATTCCCCACCACCATCAATTTGTATGGTTTTAATAGAATGGTTGTGTTGTTTTTCCACCAATCTTTTAAAGAAGACAAACGTTGTAAGCACATCGGATTTCTTTGCTAAAGGATAAAACCACACAAATCGAGTGTATTCATCAACAATAGATAAATAATAACGATAACCAAAATTTGAGGAGACTGGGGCTGGTCCCCATAAATCTAGATGAAGTACTGCAAGGGGTTCATGAGCATAAAAAGTACGATTGGAAAAGGGAAGTCTACATGATTTTCCCAAAGGGCAAATATGACAAGCCTTATGAGAATCAACCTTACCACTAACAGGCAAGTGAAATTTATTAAGTAAAATACGAAAAACATCATGAGACGGATGGCCAAGTCTTGTATGCCAAATATCTTGGGTAGTCCTTTCACCATAAAAGACTAGCTTCCCTGAGATTGTAGGATTTGCTTGAATATGGTACAAGTCGCCAGAGCTACTGCCAGTGAGTAATGTCCTCCCCGTCATATTGTCCTTTACATGAAAACCATTAGCATGCATCTCAAAATAGCAATTATTATCCTTAGAAAAACGGTGTATAGACAATAGATTCTTTCGGATAGCGGGAACACATAGAACATTAGTAAGTTTCAAAGGACCAATATTAGTTTGACCAATATGACTTATTGAGAGACGAGTGCCATTACCTACAATAATGGAATCATTACCTGTATATGGCTTCACAAAGGGGAGTTGAGAAGGACTGGACACCATATGATGGGTTGCCCCGGAGTCAACACACCAACTTGTGTTAGTAGGAACAGATGGTGAAGGGATATTGGAGGTGTTGGACTCTGCCATGTAGGCGTAATTACCACGATCAGGACATACACGTGAAGTGTGGCCTTGCCGGTTGCACATCTGACAGGTTTCTTGAAACTGAAAAGGAGGTTGATATGGTGGTGTTGGGAGCAGTGGTGGACGTCCATCATGTGAAGGCATTGATGATCTAGTATCTGTTAGAAATTGAGGACGACGGTGATCACGACTATTTTGCCAGCCGTTGTCGCGAGTGAAGGTCCCGCCATTATGGTAGTTGGAATTCCAGTTAGGAGAACGACCTGAATTTCTTCCATTATGCCAACCGCGACCTCGACCTCGTCCTCTTCCAAAGTTTTGAGACCGGGTTTGAGAATGGGTGTGGTGAGTGGTGCCTTGGGCTCGGTTCTGAGTGGCCTGATCATTGGTACTGCGATCAGAGGTGAGTGCTACACTTTGTGATAAGGAGAGGGAAGACATCCTCTTCAGCAACTGTTCTTCCTGTATTAACAAATCATAAAATTCATCAAAGGTTAGAGAGGGTCGAAGATGAAGGGAGGTAGTAAATTCTTTGTATTCATGGCCTAGGCCATCGAGTATATAATCAATAAGTTCGCCATCAGAAATTAAGGTGCCAGCCGCAGTGACAGAATCAAAGAGAGACTTGGCGTGGATCAAATAATCAGCAACTGACTTTTCTGGATCCTTTTTGAGGGTGCGTATCTGATCTCGCAGGGTACGAATATAAGTTTTGGACAGGGGTGACAGTCGTTTCTCAAGCAGCGTCCATGCCTCATATGCTGTAGAACATGGAATCAGAAGGGTCTTAATAGAAGATGAAGCCGTGGCCTTGATCCAACTTAAGACTAGTTTGTCTTTTGAATAGGCTGGATTGAGAGAACCATCGGGAAGTTTCTTCTGAGGATGGGTTTCTGTCTTAATCACATCTTCCAGATCATGTAATTCTAGTACATCTTCAAACTGAGATTTCCAACAGAGAAAATTATTACGATCCATTGGTGTTGTAAACAAGTGAGCGATATTGAAAGAAGTTGGAATAGAAGATGGTGTGGTGGTCATGGTATTTTGAAAAGTAGTCTGAGAGACAGAAGAAGAGTTTATAGGAGAGGAAGAGTTTGTCATTAGGATCGAAAAGGGGTTGCTAGCCTCTGCGAGGCTCTGATACCATGTAGAGAAATAACTAGGGTTTAGAGAAGAATAAGAAGTAGAATAGAAAGAACACCCCACGATGAGTATTCTGGTTGTATTGGATTTCTTTTATATGCTATACAGTTGACTTTGTACATGAGTATAAACAGAGTAAATTATACAAACGGTAAAACATAAAATAGGCAGTTCCAAGATTATAGGGATTGATTGAGATAATGAAGCAATCACACTTGAATGGCTACAGACTGCCGTGACTTGTGGGGAGTGCCTTGCATATTCATTGGCTGATGGGTAGGATGCTCTTCAAATTTGTGCCAAATCCAGCAGTAAGAGATTTATGTACAGTAAGCACAGGACATTCTAACGGTTACAAAGCCCAGTACGAATTGATAATAAACTTGAATAATTGAACAGGCCACAATATGTAGATTTAATTTATGATATATATGCCTTCACCAGATCTGTGTAATTGCAGACCAAACCTGTCCTTGGACAAGTAATCTTACCGTCATTCTTCCTGGCCATTTCTTCAAGAGCCTGCCAAAACATAAAATAAGTAAAGAATATTTCCAGACTAAACAGCCAAGATCGTCCAATACTAGTAAAATGCATGCGAACCTTAGAGCTGTAGACATAGCCATTGGGCAAGACTTGTGGTGGGTTCTCTGTGTCCATTAGTTCCTTAGTTATGTAGCAAACAAGCTTCGAGTGATGCTGCTTAGAATAAGGTAATGGCTGGGCTAGTTTCCGGAAACCCTCCTGTGATAGTGGATCCTCCTTGGTGCAATCATCGTCGTAACAGTATCTGATTCAGGTCAAGGCTAAACAACACATCTGAATACAATTAGCAGCTATAATGCATGTCCTCACGTCCTAAAGGTGAATGAGAAGTGCCCAAATGCCAATCAAGGGAGATACAGCGTTGGTTTTTCAACCACCATTATGACCACCTGATGGCTGAAAATTATAACTTACAACCCCTAAGTTAGCAAAAAATTGGAGATAATACTAAATTTTCATAACGTAACAGATAAATAACTACTGTTAATGGATACGGGGTTTTCAGAGCAGACAGGCCTGCTTGCAGATAAATATTCAGCAAAGGCTCAAGAGTCATGCCATATAACTTGCAAAATTCCTGTTTGAATTGGTCAACCAGGTAGTCCCATTGCTTCGGCTCAAATAACACCTGGAAAGCATAAGCAACCAAAGCAAAATTGAAATAACATACCAGAGATTAACCTGTAATATACAGTTCCAAGATGAAATAAAACCACTAAAGCAAAAAATCTCACTAAAATGTATAGTTCAAAATATATATCTCCCAAGGAGATGGCAGAAATATTGAGTCAATTATTCTTGAAAACCTAGGCCTGTATATCAATTGTTACACAAGAACTCATGTGACATCTTAGGATTCCTTATAGGTATGCTGAAGGCTGGATAAACAACGGAGACATAAAAATTAATGAGTGAGAAACGTATCCCAAAAGGTACTTACTACCATCACAAAGAGATGATGCAGACAGACATGTGCTAGCTTGTGGCTTGTGGCTTGTGGTCAACAAAACATCTCTCCTATATGGTAAGTTCAACTAAACATCGGTACCATATATAGCACATTTCTATTCTAGTGAAAAATTTAGTCCAGTTGATTCCCACAAAAGAACAGGGGAAAACAGAGAGACCATGGTCTCAAAAGCTTTTTTTTGTTTATTGTTTACTTTATTTCCCTTAAATGTGTGTATGCCTAGTCCAACAAAATTTCAGCACAGTTAACTTCAGTTCAGATAAGTAGCAACTGATAATGCTGGCAACGCATTAAAGTACTCACCTTGTATGTAGCACATTCAGTAGTACTCTTATAAGCTACTGTTACAAAGACCCGCTGCAATTCTTTCATATGAGTAGTTCCCCATGGTGCAAGGTATTTCTGAGCATATGTGATAGCTCGCAAGTTATTTTCAGCTCGAACCAACTCTATAAACTCTTGCAGTCGCAGCTGAAACTCAAATTTACTCTGCCATAAATAAAGCATTCAGCATTAGACATGCTAATACCAAATTTTTTATGCAGTACAGTAATAACTGCAATTCAATTGGTATAACAGTCAACAGGAACATTTTCCTAGCTATCTAATTTGAGATAAAAAGCATTTCAGGGTACCAACTCAAATAAATTAATTTCAAGAACACTGTATCTTTCGACCAAAATACGAGATTAAGTATGCCATTGCATCTGGCTTAAATACACAGCATTCATCATTCAGAATGGAGAGACTCTTAGTTTGCTTGCACCAGAAACCCAATATTACAATTAACTATCCAATCGTTGCACATTTAACTTCACAAGCAGCTATCAGAAATTTAGCAGAATCAACATACATTTGGAAATTGGAAGCAATGCAGTTACCACTATGGGGGATCTTTCACATCCATATAGCTTTTTTTTTTTTTTTTTTTTTTTTTTTCCTGTTTTGTTTTGTTTTGTTTTTATTTTTGCAGAAACTGAATCTGATCTTGCTAGAATTCTGGAATGCAAATGATGGAGCAAATCCCCTTTAAATCTCAAATTTTCTTTCTACAACTTAAGTCAAGTTTATAAGAATGGTAGATGCATGTTTGGTCCAAGTTAGGCGGCCACGTGACCAGTGGCGGATCCAGGATTCAAAAGCCAAGTAAGCGAAACTTACCTTAAAAACTCGACGGTATGAGTGAATTTTATTTATAAAAATAAAAAGATACACCTAGTAAGGGAGGACATAATGAGTCTTACCCTCAAATATGCATATACATAAATAAAAGTTTAACAAAAGCATTGTACTAGATGATGACCCATCATTCTTTTTATTAAAAAAAGAGAACAAATTCTTTGTTTTCTTAGGGTTCCGATTGTGATCCGACATGATAAAAGATAACATATTTAATCAAATATCACAGCAAAAAATCAAACAAATTCTCATAATAACATCAATGTCTTTAATGAAACATTAACATACCAACATCAAATCAAACATCTCAACAATACCAACATCAAATCAAACATCTCAACAAAGAGGAGACAATACTCAATTTCAAAGACCTAATTAATTTCAACAAAATCCCAAATTATAATTCATTTCTAATTAAACCTTAGAATACTCAATTTCAAATTAAAATTAAAATTAAGATGCATACATGTATTTTAGGAAAACCCCAAAAAGAGAAAACAATTAAAGAGGAGAGAATGAGAAATACTTGTTAACAAGGAAGGAGAAGGTATCTTTTGTTTTTTTGAAGTATAATATAAGTGGGCATAGCCCATGGTTGGAGTGGAGAATGTCGATTGGGCTGGAGCATTTGAGTTGACATTGCTTTTATTGTTTTTGTTAAATGAGAAAGTTTGAGTGGGCTGGGCTATTGTTTTTGTTAAGGGGAAACATTTGAGTGGATTGGGGTTGAGTAGGCAAAAGAGATATAATTGTATTAAGTATTGGGTAATATTTGGTTTGGCTAAAAATGGAGTAGGCGGCTGCCTACCCTGCCCTTAGGGTAGGACCGCCCCTGCACGTGACGCATTTGTGCCCGCAGCAACCCAATGAGAGGCAATTGGCAGCAAGACTTGTGCCCGCAGCAACCCATATGAATTATAAACACATATGAAAGACCAAGAAATCATATAATATAATTGACTAACACCTTAAAAATAATAAATCACGTGTAAACACCCATATAGTTATGTATATATTTGTCAGGAGTCCAGCAGTATTTTTTATTTTTTTTAAAATTCTAGACTCAGATAAGAAATAGATCTGGACTTCCTAGAGTCAACGAGTACCACCGCCAACTTTATTAAATTGTTTAAGCATTGTTTAAGTCTAATTTTTTTTTTTATGGATAATTTTTCTTCATTTAATCTTTTTAAATAACTTCATAATTTAATTTTTTGAACAATTTGACCTAAAAAAATTGAAATTCCACAAATATAATTTTATTCTAAAAGAAAACACACAACATAATTTCAAAAGAAAACACACAATACTTCAAATTCACCATACATGAAACCCAATAGAAATAAACTAATATCACCATCATGGGGGCATGGGTAATGACCTAGTCTAATAATCATGAGCTTGAATATACATTACATGACCTATGACAAGGTTATCAAGGGAAGCCAAAAGAAAAATTAGCTAGAATAACTCAACACCTCATGTGTAACATGCAAATTGCTATTCTGCGAATCGATTACGATTGCATTTGACAATTCAAACGACTTTCATCTTGAAAACAATTTTACAAAATTATTTTAGAAATTTGTTTAGCTCCATTTACACATGCAATTTACTATGCATGTGTATATATATATATATATAGTCAACCTAAAAAACAGAAAGGAATCACTATTTGATTTAAGGATCAATATTATGTTGTGGTTAGGGGAAAACTTCTCAGTAATGGGATCTAAACACAATTTGTAAGTGTATGCATTTTGAGTTTTTCTTTTGGCTTCCCTTGATAATATTGTAATAGGACATACATTGTAATCACCCAAGCTCAAGCTTAGTTTAAGAATAGTTTCACTAAGTGTTCTTATCTGGCTGCTATCTTATGGAAGATCAATTATATTGACAAAGGTAATTTGTGCATTGCATCATATTGCATTCATTAGATTTCTTAAGATAATAACTAGTCATCTTGTTTTCGTATGACTAGTCATCTTTTGCATCAATAAGTTTCTGGATCCTACCAAACATTTTTGTCTTATTCTACAAATTTTCTCAGCTGCCATGTGTACTATTCTGACCTATGAATTTTGGGTAAATACCCATTGATTCCTCATTTGGTAGCCGTCAATTTTGAGGTGAGGTTTTGAAAAGGTTTCTCTATCCTTTTGCTTCGTCTTCTTCCTCAAGAGAAAACCACCATTTTCATTTATGAGTTTTCTAAATTGATTTTCGAAAACTGCTTTTGAAATATGAAATCTGCATCTAGCTAGAACACAATTGCCGTTTGAATATTATGTTGTGATTAGGGGAAAACTTCTCAGTAATGGGATCTGAACACAATTGCCGTTTGAAGATCTCTACATGATTGCATAGACCTTGAAATGATTTGCATTTTATAGAGTCAAGGAGTACCGCCGCCAACTTATAAGGCTATCTTTTCAGGTAAACAAAATACAGCAACTTGGTTCAACTTATCAAGCTAGCAAATGTATCATTCTTGCTTTCATTGAAACTTGAAACTGAACCCTAAGCCCCCTACTTCTCCACACTCGCATTATCGTACTATTTGAATAGGTTTTGGTCAAGAACTTGATAATAAACTGTAAAATGTAATTTTGCATATATATACATGTTCAAGTTCCCAATAGTAATGCCAGGTTGAGGAATGACCACAATTTTCCCAATCCCAGGGCAAGTTCTTACACCGGAATTGACTAATTGACTAAAAATTACAGCGAATACAAGAAAAAGTAATTAATAAAATTTGATTAAAAGTTCATAATTGCAATTGCATTTGGCAATTAATTCAATCCGACTTGCAGACTTCGGTTTCTTAGGAGAAAGGTTTTACTACGAATTCGACGAGGCTGAACGCTTGCCAAGTCCTTGGCCATAAGAACCAGAACTTCAACTTCACCGATGGCCCGAAAACTTAAAGCAGAGATGGGCAACTCCTTAGGAAAAGCGGTATCTTTAGATCGTACCCAATAATCTATAAGGTCATCTCCACTGTGATTTAAACGTTCTTCTTCATTGCGGTATTCTGTCCAGTACTCGTTTGTCACCGCCACAACTCCCCTCACGATGAAGAACATCTTTTCCACTAACTCATTCAATCCAATAATGTACTCATCTTGATACTTTTCTGCCCTAAGATGCTCACTTATTTCTTTCAACACTTGCTCATCCATATGCTTAAGCCTTTCCACCTAGATTAATTAGATACCATATTATTTGTTTAAGCAAAGAAGAGAGAATTAAGTATAAACATGTATATATATATATATAGGAACTTACATTCTTTAGCATAGTCAACAGATCCTGAGTCAAAGGCTCCGATGGAGGGAGGGTGATCTGAGTCTCCCTTGTGAACAACTTGGACTTGAAATCAGAGACTACACTCTTCAAGTCGTCGGCTGTGAGAGCAAGGATTTTAACAGGACGGGAGCCGCGTAACGCAGAACCAGTTGCCAAAGGTAGTTTGGCAGGAAAGGAGCTATGTGATGCCCAAGTTGTAACCCAATGTACCAGTTCTTCTCCATAGAAACCTCCCATTTCACGGGTTTCTGACCCTTCGATGATGCTATCGCTTTCGATGGATACAACTCCCCGCACCACAAAGAACATCATTTCAAGTGGTTCCTTCTCTCGAATAATATAGGTGTTGACAGTACTGTAGGCCCTGGGCTTAAGAAGCTTGGAGATTGCTTCCAACACTTGTTTGTCCATTTTTTGAAAAATTTTCACCTAGAGTTAGATAGATATATGATATTGTTAATTACTAAGAAAAGTATTTATAAAGCAAATCTAAAGTACGTATAGCTGTGAGGATGAAAATGGTTTTAAAGCAAATCTAAAAATATTGTTACTTGATATATAGAGTAGAGATGGAAAGCAACTTACTTTCTTTAGCCTAGTCAACCGGACAGAAGTAAAAAGATCTAACTCAGAGGCGATCTTGCTGAAATGTGGCACGAAGTTATCATTAGAGGCAAAATTTTTCAAGACTTCTGGTTTAAGATAGAGGATTTCAGCATCGTTTGAGACTACTGTAGCCGTACAGGTGGACAAGGGTAGCACCTCAGGAAAAGACTTATCCAGTACCCATTCAACAAGTTCTTCTCCGAAAAAATTTCCTGCACGATCCATCTCATTATTTTTTATCACCTCTCCCCTCGTGACGAAGAACATCATACTAAGTGGTCGGTTCTCTTGAACAATATCGACATCATGTCGATAGCGATGAGGTAGAAGAAGCGCAGACATTGCTTTCAATACTTGTTTATTCATAG